CGTCTGTTTCCGGTCCCGAAACGGGACTGCGCAGACTTGCGGTTCATTCTGAAATTCTGATGGTGTCCCTGCGCTGGACCTCCGGGACGCTTATTAGCATGACCCGATTCATCCGAGGTTCCGGGACTGGCTCGGTTTTGTTGTGGGGCATCTGAGTTACCGCTTTCGTTGTCTCCCGTTCGAGTTGAACCTGGCACCTCGCGTGTTCACGTGCCTTACGCCGGTCGTGATGGCCCGTTTGCGTCTTCTAGGTGTTCGGGTGTTGGTCTTCCTCGACGACTGGCTGGTTTGGGCTCCCAGCCGGTCGGCTTGCTTGTTAGCCAGGGACCTGGTTCTTTCCCAGCTCGCCGGGTTCGGGTTCTTGGCGAACTAGAGGAAGTCCTATCTGGTCCCCTCTCAGGTTCGGACGTGGCTGGATCTCGTTTGGGACTCTCGGACCACCTCCTTGTCTCTCCCTCCGGAGTTTCTCCTGTGGCTGTGGTCCCACCTTGGTCTGTTTCTGGTGGGTCCTCGGGTCACCCGGCAGTTGCTCGAGGGGCTGTGCAGGAGCCTGAACTTCGCGATGGTAGTCTACCCGCTGGGTCGGGTTTGGCTTCGTTGGCTGTTCTGGTTCCTTCCGGGTCGCCCCTTTCACCTCTCTCGCGATCGCTGGGTTCGACCCCCAAGGGCCTTGCGTTGGCTGTTACGTCGCCGGCTTCCTCTTTGGGTTTTTCGGAGTTCAGTGCCTTGGCGCCTACCCGAGCCCTTGCTCGATGTGTACACGGATGCGTCGCCTCTCGGCTGGGGCTTTGTGACCAGTGCTCACCAGGCCGGCCAGGGGCATTGGGGTCCGTCCTTCCTTCGAGCTCACAGCACAGTGCAGAAGTTCGCGGCAGTGTGGTTTGCTCTTAGGAGGATTCGGCTCCATGCGGACTGCTCTCCAGTGGTTCATTGCCTGAACCGCAGGGGTTCGATGCGGTCCTTGTCTCTTTGGGGTTGGTCGCTTCGGGTGAATCGTCTGCTGAGTTCTCTGGGGTTTGGCTCGCCTGGCGGTTCACGTACAGGGAGTGTCCAACGTCTTGGCTGACGGCCTGTCTCGCTTCGTTCCCCTCTCCACAGAGTGGACAGTCGACGATGCTTCCATCTGTTGGCCTTGCCTGACGTTCGGGAGCCCCGAGATGGACCTCTTCGCATCAGCGTGGTCAAGGCGCCTTCCCGTGTATGTGGTGCCCTTCCCCGATTGCGAGGCCGTCGGGGTCGATGCCTTTCGGCTGAACTGGTCAAGGTGGGGGTTCCAGTACCTCTTTCCCCCAATTCAGCTGTTACTCCAGGTCCTGACTCGCTTGGAGACTTACCAGGGGAGAGTTGTCCTTCTGGCCCCTTAGTGGCCGGCCCAGCCTTGGTTTCAGGCACTGCTTGCTCGGTGTCTGAACCCAAGGGTTTTCCCGCGGCTACGCCTCTTTCAGCAGATTGAGCCGGTCCGTTACGTGGCTGGTTCGATCTTCTCCTCGAGTCTTCGCATATGGATTCTTTGACTCGAGTCTATCATCATCTCTATGGTGATCAGGTGGCCTGTTTGTTGGTGTCCCACCTGAGGGCTTCTTCTCGGCGGCAGTATGAAGTTTCCTGGTGGTCCTTCTGTTTCTTTTTGCGTCTTTGTCGTGTTAGTTCATTGTCTGTTAGGGTGGTCTTGTCCTTTCTCTCTTGGTTGTTCCAGGACCATCATCTTATGCCTAACACTGTCACCTCGTATCGTGCAGTGCTGGCGGAGCCGCTTCAGCTTACCTTCGGTATTGATGTTATGTCTGCGCCGTTTTGCAAGCTGTCTCTTGCTTTGTTTCACCTCTGGCCTGCTCATGCTCCGCCTGAGCCGTCCTGGTCTTTAGACAGAGTGTTCGCTTGCCTTTCTTCTCCTCGTTTTGTTGTTGCCCCTTCGGTCCGGGATTGTTTCTCCAAGGCTCTTTTCTTGTTGGCATTAGCCTCTGGGGGTCGGGTCGGGAAGCTTCATGCTCTCCTCCGGCGCAGGGGTTTCTGCTCTTTTGGTCGTAGTGATTGTTTTGTTCGCTTGCAGCCGTCTCCTTTTCTGGCGAAGAATGAGAGCGCTGCGTTCCAGAGAGGTCCGTGGGTGGTTGATGCTTGGTTGGTACGGCCGGGGGTGCATCATGTTTTGTGTCCGATTGCGGCACTTCGCCTTTATTTGCGTGCCACGGCTTCTGTGTCCGGGGACACGCTTTGGACAGATCCAGTTTCCCTTCCCTGATTGTGGGTTCGGGTCTCCCAGGTCGTCCGCAGGGTTATCAAATCCAGTCAGCCTGCTGTCTATCCCCACGCCCATGACGTCAGTAAGTTCGCAGCTCTGGCTGCCGTCTTTGGGAATATGTCTTGGTTTGATATTCGGGTGCAGGGTTTTTAGCGGTTGAACAGGGTCCTGGCTGCTCGTTACCTCATAAATGTCCCTGGGCCTCGTCGGGCTTTGCTTTGGGTCGGCGGTTGCAGCCAGTTGTCTCGACTTCGAGTTAAGGAGTGAGCGACGACCACCTCCCGGGTAAGTCCCTCTTTTTCCATCTGTGAGTAGTTAGCTCCGGGGAGCCGACAGGGCTCCCCCCAGAAAACCAGCGTTGAATGTAATGAAACGCCATTTTCTGGGCGAGTCCTGGAGGCTCCTCAGCATCCCTCCCTCCCTCCCTCCGGTCGGCATTTTTTTCGTGTTTTTGACACCCAGCCTCAGAACTGAGGTATGGGTAGCTGGCGTGAAGGATCTGGAGCTTCCCCTTTCCCCTCCCAGGGAAGGGGAGAGCTGCACAGTCAGCGGCGCGGTGACGTGTGACGTCACACTAGTTTGCTTGATTTCTGTTGGGGAGTTCTATCCACTAGTTCGGCTTTTAGTAGCAATTTTCACAAGAATAGGGGTTTGTTTTGAGGCGCTTACCTTTCTGGGTGCCTGTTCCGGTCAATGGCAGACATAGAATGCTTCCTACCACACGGGGGTTTCTATAGGCCATTGCTCCCCTTACCTCTCAGAGGGGACCTGGTTCTGGCCGTGGTCCCCATTAGGCCTAAGAACTCCATACACATGACTGATGCCAAAGTCTGACATTAGCATATCAGCTTGGGAAAGCTCCGGGGAGCCTCCAGGACTCACCCAGAAAATGGCGTTTCATTACATTCAACGCTGGGTTTTTTCTTATTTTTTTTATTTTCTCAACACAATTTATACTTTAATCTCAATTAGTATTAAGTTTTAGTCTTAGTGTTTTTCCTGCTTGAAACGCATTGCGTAATAGTGGCTTTAGACATTGTATGTACTAGCTCTATCTATTAATCCGTCAACGTTTTGTATCTATGTATGTACTTTACCTGAATAAATATTTGTATTTGTATTTTTAAAATGTACCTTCCACAGTGCTAAGGTGGCACAGTAAAAGAGCTCAACCAAACTCTGAATGAGCATAGAAAGTATGCTCATAAATACTCAGTATCAGAGGGACCACTAAATAGCACTCTGACCCAAGTGCTAGTTTTCCAACTAGCCACTTTCTTTGACTACCACTAGATAGTAGCACCTTAGCCAACACATAGTCCCCTGACTCAAGTCCTATCATAGTTTTAACTGACAAACGACAACACTCCACAAATAAGAATCGGGGACTCGTGGGATGAAGTATAAGCACTTGAGTGTTATGCTCAGAAAGTAGCCTTTCATGCATGGAGAACTATCACAATAATATGATGAAACAATCATATCATTGAAAACAATAAATTGAAGCAGTCCAGTTGATAGTGTGTGCCTGATTAATCAGGGGAACAGGTTCAGTTCATAATTATTCAATGGCTGGTTTCTGTGTTATTTCATTGGAATTTTCTCTTAAGATCAGAAAGTATGCAGACATGGAAATTATGGATATTAAAACATAAAACTTGAAAAAATAGAGTATTGAGTGTAATGAACTGTTCCTTTCTAGGTTGAACTTCATTAGGTCCTCTTAGTCTATGCCAACGGCACATGCAGGATACTGACCATGCCAGGTGTCCAGTAACTCAAGACACAGTGTACAAGAACCTTTTCCAGCTGTCTTGTCTCCTCCATGTGGCTGGGAAGCTCATGGGGATCAGAGATCACCCCAATTGTGCCCAACCACTTGGACTGGACGGTAGAGTGATGGTCTCGCATCATGCAGGTCGGCATTCAATCCCCAACTGTCCAAGTGGTTGCGCACCATTCCTTTCCCCCATCCTATCCCAAATCCTTATCCTGACCCCCCTCTCAGTGCTATGTAGTCATAATGGCTTGGCACTTTTCCCTGATAGTTTTCTCCCTCCCTCCCACTACAGAGATATGGAGGGAAAGTTTGTGGGGACCAGAGTTCAACCCACTAAAGGAGATAAGTGAGGGAAGCTCTTGAGGGATCAGAGATCAATATACGTACTACTGTACTAAGATGAGGCAAGGCAGTTCATGAAAACCAGAAATTAACCCACTTCCAAGATGAAACACCTATAATAAAGTCAACTCAACACACCCAACCCCTACTCTGAAATTTATTTGGAAACTGAGATTCATGCTTTGGTGATCCTCAATCTCCTCTCTTCTTATAGAGAAAATAAAAATCTGGTTCTGGCTCTTTTAGGTCTGTGGGAGTCTCAGCATCTGTGGGAGTCTCAGAGACTTGAGACTCCTTAGGCTTAATGTAGACAGTCCATTGGCATCAGGAAGCCTTCCCAGACATGCATTTTTTCTTTGTGTCGATATCAATTTCATTCTTTTATTAGACATGATAAAATATATACAATTATTACTAAATATTTTCTAATTGGTTTCAAGTGATATTTTATAAATTCAACGCTTCTGAGTCACAGTATGAGATGGTGGAAATCAATGTATCAACAGGAATAAAGCTGCACCACTGTCAGGATTTATCCAACTACAAATGAGCAGGAGATTCAGGAAGTAGAGCATGATTATTCACACTGCTGAATTTAAGGTCATATAGATCATAAGTAAAAAACTTTTTTTCACCTACCACTTTCATGTTGGCAATGATGGCAAGATAGTTACTTTCAGTATTTCTCAACTGTGCCCTCAAATCTTCTCGCTCTTGGACAACACGAGTTTCCTCTGCAAGAGAGTCTTTATGCAGGTTCAGCAATGCCTGTTCACTATCCACCTGAAATGAAAGATTTCATTTTGAAATAAAATTGGACAATATCTTGGTTATCTTGAGATGATTTCGGGGCTTTTTAGTGTCCCCGCGGCCCGGTCCTCGACCAGGCCTCCAACACAACACACATTTCCTCCACAACAGTATATTTATGAAGATTTAGTAACACCTGCTCACCTGAAATCAAATTAAATGAAGATTGCTGTCTTGCCTGCTTGTGGCACTATTGCAATTTGCTACTTTCATGAATGATAGATGAACATCTGTGACAGGTATACTTCAGGAGCCAGTGCTAAGTTTGCAACACACTACAACACTTCCTTCCATTGTTTGCACTGTGTAATAATGATTATTTTAATAAATAAAAGTAACATTTGTAGTAAAAACAATGAAAGATTTAACATATAGTATTAATAGTATAATAGTGTGTAGTTATGTCAATAATATACTTGCTCCAAACTCTCATTAGCTTATGTGCAGATAATGAGATGGGTTTGTTAATTCTACTTAGTCCCCTAATAACGAATTCATACCTCTTCCCTAATTACAGTTAATACTCCTTCCTAACCTACTAGTAGACGGTCAGGTGAGGTGTGGACTGATTATATAAGCAATCTATGGCAAATAATCATCAGATTGGTGAACCCCGACAGAGAGAATGCATCTTTTGCTAAACTGTCACAGAAAAGCTACTACTTCACTAGCTCCTGGAATGTGAAGCAACCAACGACCTTGGAAGAGCTTTAAGAGTTCCCGAATCTTGCAGTAATCACCATGAAGCTATCAACACAGCCACTCTTCTGGTCAAAAAGGGTGTCCAGCAGCTGGACACCCCTCATAAATACTGTCAAACAGTATCCTTACCCGCAATACCAGCCTGACGATTAAATGCGACCTCAGAACACTGAATAGATTTACTGAACAAAAAATTGTACCACTTACGGGCTGTTCATGCCATGCCACCTCTTGTGTGTGGCTTAATCTTTATCAATCAATCAATCAATAATCATCAGTTTAATTTCAAGTGTGGTTCAGTACAGACGCTTGAGAAATACAACACATCTTCAATATTCACTAACAATAATGTACCACTCGGTGTGTCCAGTTCCTACCCTCACCAGACGCTTCAGCTTCGGCACAGAGCAGACAGCCAGACTCCAGCCGCATCAAGCTTCCACGCTCTCAACCTTCAAGGAGCACCTCGACTCTGCCTGCATTCAGAGCACCACGCCTACGACTCTCACCCTGCATCCGAGCTCTCTGCCCACAGCCTCACTCAGCTCTGCCCTGCTCCAGGTTTCGTCTTAACTTCTACAACACTTCACTCACTGCCAATAACCGACTGCTGAAGCCAAGACTACTAAATAAATATGAAAAACACTAAACTCTGTGTGTCTAATTAACCAAATACGTATACATAGTCTTACGTTACAAGTGTATTTGTTCTCAGTTTTTAAATCTTAATTATAAATTTAAAATTTTTTCATGATTTGCTGAAAGAAAATGTTTAGCGTTAGCAGTGTGGCAATATAATCAAGCCAGCCCACACTGCTCTTTCCAGCTGTTGGTATACTGTATATCATATATACTGCACTGTATATTCCATTCTGTACTGACCTGGCCATCTCTGTCGTATCACTTGTTCCTTCTGGTGTGCTCCCATCTTTCTTTTTATGCATGCTCTTTGAGGTCTGTAAGGGGTATCATTTCTCACCTCTTTTCTTTCCCTTTCTCTTGACCCTTCATGTGTCAGGTTAATATAATGCTCCTCCTTTCAGTTTACTTTGAGTGAATACTCACCTAGTTGTTCTTGCAGGATTAAGCATCTGCTGTGTGTGTGTGTCTGCAATTACCTTAGTGTAGTTACATGAGGAGATCTATGCTCGTGGTGTCCCGTCTTCCCTACAATCTTTATCATATGATGCTTTGAAACATACTGCTAATATTTTTCAGAGCACCACGCCTACGACTCTCACCCTGCATCCGAGCTCTCTGCCCACAGCCTCACTCAGCTCTGCCCTGCTCCAGGTTTCGTCTTAACTTCTACAACACTTCACTCACTGCCAATAACCGACTGCTGAAGCCAAGACTACTAAATAAATATGAAAAACACTAAACTCTGTGTGTCTAATTAACCAAATACGTATACATAGTCTTACGTTACAAGTGTATTTGTTCTCAGTTTTTAAATCTTAATTATAAATTTAAAAATTTTTCATGATTTGCTGAAAGAAAATGTTTAGCGTTAGCAGTGTGGCAATATAATCAAGCCAGCCCACACTGCTCTTTCCAGCTGTTGGTATACTGTATATCATATATACTGCACTGTATATTCCATTCTGTACTGACCTGGCCATCTCTGTCGTATTCTTGCAGGATTAAGCATCTGCTGTGTGTGTGTGTCTGCAATTACCTTAGTGTAGTTACATGAGGAGATCTATGCTCGTGGTGTCCCGTCTTCCCTACAATCTTTATCATATGATGCTTTGAAACATACTGCTAATATTTTTTTGGCATCCACCATCTCCTCACTTACATTGTTCCAGCCATCTATTCTATAATATGAGTGGGTGTGTGTTTATGTGCTTGTATATGCACACAAATTAAAAAAATTTAAAAGTTCACTTTTGCAAACAGAGTGGTAGACAGTTGGAACAAGAGGAGGCCTGATCAGGGACTGGGCTGCGGAGACATTGAGCCCCAAAATCATTGCAAGACAAGTTCAGTGAGAGGGTGGTGGAAGCCAAAACTGTCAGTAGTTTCAAAATGTCATGACAAAGTACAGGGAAGAAGGGATATCACAAGTGTAGCTCTTGTCTTGTGATTGCACTTAGGTAATTACACTAAGGTAATTACACACACATTGTAACTACCATTTTAATGGCTTCACTCATGGTCTAAAATATTTACAGGAAGTACTTTAATGTAAACAGACTTACCTGAAGGTGTGTGAGGGTGTTTTCCTGGGTAAACATGAGATGCTTCATCTTCTGTTGATATACACTGATCTCTTGCTGATGCTTCTCCTCAGCCTCTCCTATCTCAACATCCTTGTGTCTGAGAAATGTGTTCACTATTAATCAATGCTTCAGTATGGTAAATGTGCTATGACAAATTATATTTGTAAAAACTACCAATTTTTAGCTGTATCAACTTTTGGGAAAACTTAGAGTTTGAATTAAAAGATATGTTTATCTATAAAATAACACCAGAATTTAGTTGGTATATGTAGTATTTACTTGAATATGAATCAAATTACCAGTGACTGGTATTACGATGTGAACCTGGTGGTCAGCATCCCAGTGCTAGTTATCAGTTAGAGGCTGCAATTATATTGACCCATTAAAAGGATTTTAATGTACTGTACAGTACAGTGCTTAAATCTGCAATTCCGAGTGTGATTACCTGCTGTTTGATGTAAGTTATCTCTTGAAGTTCTCAAGAGTATAATCCATTATCAGATCACCGGTACAGTAGTACAGTATTTTGTGTTTGGCCATATCCTGAAGTCAACACAAAGTAGTGTAACACTAGATTATACCTGCGACGATTATTACAGGTTTAAAGATAACCTCTTAAAGCACAATGAAATCACAAAAATGTGATTTATCTATGAGAAATTATTGAAGTCGTGTATCTGAGAAATTCAGGGATGCAGGTTTGATACTATTAAACAGCCTCAATGCTTTCTCATACCCTCATAAACCTCAAAATTATGCAATACAATACTGATATATAGAAATTCTTGAGAGTAAGAAAGCTACAATATCTGTATATTATATTTCTTACATTTTGTTAGTCAAAGATATAACTGGAGCTTCTATCATTTGGAAGTACATATTATATAGCAACTTTCATAATGCAAAAAACTTTACAACACTTTTCCATTCATTCACTAAATAAGATGTTAATGAGGTACATCTAATACTTCAATATTTACAGTACTTTTATTTAGAATGAACAGAATGTGAAAGTTTATTTCCCTTCCTTGGAAGAAACAAAGATATGGCTTTCACCTGTTCACTTTTGCAGTCTTTCTCCACTAAACCTGTTGCATGAAATGAATTGTCCAACTTTATTTGAGAAGATTCTGAGGAAGAACAGCAGACAATAGAATCTTCTGGGCTAAACCTACACTTTTTCAAGCTGTTCCTGCAAGGCCATGCAAGCTTCGCTTTGCTTTGATGTCCAAAGGGATTGGAAAGGATGGGGGAGGTAGAGAACCATGCAAGCTGTTCCTGCCTGCAAAGCCATGCAAGCTGTTCCTGCCTGCAAGGCCATGCAAGCTGTTCCTGCCTGCAAGGCCATGCAAGCTGTTCCTGCCTGCAAGGCCATGCAAGTTGTTCCTGCCTGCAAGGCCATGCAAGCTGTTCCTGCCTGCAAGGCCATGCAAGCTGTTCCTGCCTGCAAGGCCATGCAAGCTGTTCCTGCCTGCAAGGCCATGCAAGCTGTTCCTGCCTGCAAGGCCATGCAAGCTGTTCCTGCCTGCAAGGCCATGCAAGCTGTTCCTGCCTGCAAGGCCATGCAAGCTGTTCCTGCAAGGCCATGCAAGCTATTCCTGGAAGACCATGCATGGAGTAAGGAAGATTGGATAATTTTCATGCCTACATGCAAAATATCTTTTATAAGCAGTATGTAGCTTCAGAGAGACTGCCAAATATTGCTCTCTGAACTGCTAACTCACTACGCGTACTTTAAACAGTGTACTTTAAACTGTACTTTGAACAGTGTAATGAGCTTACCTAAGTTCTGCGCGCAAATTATCCAAGTTTTCTGCAGCAACTTGCCACAGTCTCTGTACACGTTCCAGTTCACTCTGAACGTAGTTTCTTTCTTCTCTTTCTCGTTCCAACTCATTACGAAGCCTAGTAAAAGTAATATTATACACACACAAAAAAAGAAAACCCATTAGACATATGAAACAACAAAATTAATACACATTGACATAGCTCTCATTGACAAAGCTTCTTGAATCCAAACCAACAGAACATAAAAACATGAATTCAGTACTGCGGCCAGTCAGAGAGGCGGGGTGCATTATTGTCTTTGGAATTCTCAAGAACTATCTCTAAAGTCATGGCAAGACAAAAGATTAACAAAACCCATTTCAGGTGCTCCCTTTTATCTACACTACATGTCAGAATCATTTGATTTCTCATCATTAATACAGAAGAGAACTAGATGATTGTTTAATTCATACAATAAAAATATATTAAGAAATACAACCCCAAAAGATCTCCTCTCACATAAATATAATGAGTAATTATTATTAAACAGTGATTGCTCTTATGATCACTGGCTAGGAATTTAAATGTACTGTATATACTAAGCTGTAACCCAAAACGTTTTTCGAATTTCAGGTATCACTTCACTAATGAGTCCTTGCCAATACCAGAAATGTACATAATATTAATGAGGAAATAACTAATATCTTAATAAATTCCACATCCAAAAGGGAAACAAATAATGATGATATAGCTTTACATTGTTGGGGGATAGAAAGCCTATTAAGCTTATCAAGATCCCCCTTCTAGGCCAATGGCTGATCCAACCCACAACAGTTGTCTAATTTTTGTGTATCTATTTATTGTTAGGTGAACATATACAGTACTTCAGATGTAAAGAAACATCCCCTCATCATCTTTGAACTGCATGGGAATTAAACCTGGGATCTTTGGGTTGTGAACTCACTGCAAGACGAGTTAGTCTACTTCCAGTAATGCTGTTGTCTAAGACATGGTGGAGTTTCTAGGACTTCACCCACCTCCAAATATGTGGAGGTTGGGTACAGTCCTGCCACCTGTTGTGGCAAACAAAGCCAAACTGATGTGTTAATTGTTTGTTAACCAGAGACTCATTGGCAGTTGCACAGTGACATCAAGGGGAAAGGATTCTGTAAGGCCTGATTTTTATGAATAGACTTTCTGTCTGCCATTCTTAACTTACTTACAGTCTACTGAGATTAGTCTCACATGTACCAGGTAATCCACTATTAGTGATGTACAGAATGAGTTTACGTGAAGGAGTATTACCTGATGCTTGGACAAAGAGTGTCATTGTTCCCATCCCCAAACCACACTCAGATAATTATAGACCCATATCTCTAACATCGTGTGTTTGTAAAGTGCTTGAACGTATTGTTCTTAACAGACTCATGTATCGTATACAGGGGCACCTGTCACCCCAACTGTTTGGATTTATGCCTAGCCTCAGTACACAACACTGTTTTGCTGAGTACTTCGCACATATTGAAGCTTCCCCTCAAGCAGTCTTCATCGACCTAGCAGCAGCTTTTGATACAGCAAACAGAGAAATCATATTGGAACAGCTTGCCGAGCTGGGAATACAAGGAAAATTACTGAAATGGATAAAGGGCTATTTGTCTAATCGAACAGCATATGTTTTGTTTAATGGTGTTAAAAGCACAGAGAGCAAACACTTTGAACTGGGAACTCCACAAGGAGGGGTCCTCAGCCCCTTGTTGTTCAACGTTCTGATGCATAAACTTATTAAGGATCTTCCAACTAATAATGAAGACACTGTCATTTGTTATGCTGATGATATATGTTTACAGGCTGCCTCCGAGCCTAGAATGCAAGTTCTGCTCGATGCTTTTGCTACTAGAGCTGAGGAATGTGGCCTCCTTATCTCTGTACAGAAAACTCGTGCCCTCATTCCATGTGGTATTCCACCAGCCAATTATCATATAGATGGGCGAGCACTTGAGAACTACGAGTCTTACAGATACCTTGGTGTCCCCATTAACGACCCTGGGTACCTTTCTTCTCTCAAGAGGAGACTGTGGGAGAGATTAAAGCCCTTGCGGGTCCTTGTTGGTGTCAATCATGGAATCAACGTGAGACTTGCTAGAATGTTTTATGTATCATTTATACGCTCTGTTATTGACTACAATGCTCTACACCTCACACTGTATACTGACAAAGAGCTGAAATCTCTTGAAATCTTGCAAAATGAAGCTATGCGTCTCATCCTTGGGGCTCCAAAGTCCACGAGAACAGTTAATATGAGAGCATCGTTAAAATTACCTACCATAAGTGAGATAATTTTGTCTATTAGCACAGTTTTTGGCGTGAAGGCATTGAGTAGATCTAGACAACACATGAAGTTTCAAGCTAAACTTTCTAATATGCTGCACTCACCTGAGGTCTATAGAAGAAGAACGAAATCTGATTATGTATATTGGTTCTACAAGGTAGCCAACTCCATCAAAATATTAAATATGCACCCAACTCAATTAATGATTAATCAACCAATTACTCCATGGGATAACTGGGATCTATCAGTTGATTTTGTAAATGCGCCCAAGAAAGATAGTGTGCACTCTACATTATTAAAACAGTTAACACTGAAAAGCATCACTGAAAGTACTCAGAGTATGGGTAACGATGTGTATCAGTGCTATACCGACGGCTCTGTAGAAGAAGGTGGACGATGTACCGGATGTGCATGCAATATATTTGAACAATCTTCTCTCGTACATACAGCAATGAAGCCCGTCAATGACTGGGCAAGTACAACTCAAACCGAACTTGCAGGCATATACCTTGCCACTGAATTTTTAAAAGACAAAGGCAGTGGACTTATATACTGTGACTCGCAGAGTGCACTCCTGGCATTGAACGCACATAGTAGTAGTGACACCCAGAAAATAGTCAGTGATATTCAAATGAATGTTTTAGCTGCTAAAGAAAACAGATTTGAAATTAAATTTCTATGGATACCATCACATGTTGGCATCTCAAGGCATGACACTGTTGATATGCTTGCAAAGACAGCCTGCAGAAAACCAGTGGTAGAAATTGATACGAGTGTTTCATTAGCAGTGACAAAGAGAATACTTAAACAAATATCTAATGAAGATCTCACAGACCTAACAAATTCACAAAGACCGGAAAGTTGTAGCATTAAATATTATGATAGATATCGTGAGGAGACATTCACATATGGGACTAATAGAAGAAGAACCCGGCAATGTGATGTTATAGTGGCCAAAATACGCCTGGGATATAGACGTATCTGGCAGCTTTCTCAAAACCCAAATGTCGAGTACACAATGTGTCAACTCTGTGAAAGAGAAAACATGCACTCTCTTGAACATTATTTTATTTATTTATTTATTTATTTATTTATTTATTTATATACAAGAAGGTACATTGGGTTTGTGAGAATACATAGCATAGTACAGTAATTGCACTCTTGTAAAGCCACTAGTACGCGCAGCGTTTCGGGCAGGTCTTTAATCTAACAGATAATTTTAAGTAGGTAAATTCTATCAGAATTAATAAAATGATAACAAATACATTGCAAGAAAAAAAAATGAGATGAGAGAGATTAGTAAGTATATTAAAGCACATTGGTATATTAGAGCTCTGATTGATTACATTGACAGCTTGATTGGTAATTTAAACAAGATTAATAGACACAATACAGCAGATTGACAGTACATATAAGAAGACAACAATGATCGCAATGATAAAGATGTTCAGATTGGGTACATAAAGATTGGGAGATTGGGTAGCAATAAATACAGTGCAGTTTTAAAGCAAAAGATAAAAAACTATGAAGATGAAATTAGGTACTTTTTAGTATTGTTTTTGAATGATGCAAAAGTTGGACAGCTTTTCAATTCAATAGGGAGTGAGTTCCATAGACTGGGTCCCTTTATTTGCATAGAGTGTTTACACAAATTAAGTTTGACTCTGGGGATATCAGAGATATTTATTTCTGGTGTGGTGATGATGGGTCCTATTACATCTGTCCAGGGAGAGTTTCAGAGCAGGATTTGCATTTAAGAACAGGGTTTTGTAAATGTAGTTGACACAAGAGAATTTGTGGAATGAGATTATGTTTAGCATGTTTAGGGAGTTAAACAAGGGGGCTGTGTGTTGTCTGAAAGCAGAATTTGTTATTATTCTGATAGCAGATTTTTGCTGGGTAATGATGGACTTGAGGTGGTTTGCAGTGGTTGAACCCATGCACAGATACCATAATTAAGATAGGGATAGATTAGTGCATAATATAGAGAGATGAGAGCAGAGATAGGTACATAATATCTGATTTTGGAGAGTATACCAACTGTTTTAGAGACTTTCTTAGTTATGTGTTGTATGTGGGTACTGAAGTTGAGTCTCTTGTCTAGGAATAGGCCAAGAAACTTTCCATAATTTTTATTGCTAATGTTTACATTGTCTATCTGAAGCTGAATTGCATTTGTAGATTTGCTTCCAAATAAGATGTAGTAGGTCTTTTCTATGTTAAGTGTTAGTTTGTTGGTTGACATCCATAAGTGGACTTTTTTTAGTTCATTATTAACAACATTATTTAGTGTATGTGGGTTGGGGGTTAGAGTAGATGAGGGCAGTATCATCAGCAAACAAAATAGGTTTCAGAATGTTAGAGACGTTAGGCAGATCATTGATGTAAATAAGAAATAAGAGAGGTCCCAAAATGCTACCCTGTGGCACTCCAACGGTTATTGGTAGAGTGGGAGAGGTTATATTATTGATGGCTACACATTGGTGTCTATCACTAAGATAGGATTGGATATAGTCCAGTGTTTGGCCTCGAATTCCATAATGATGGAGTTTACGTAAGAGGTAATTGTGATTAACAGTATCAAAGGCCTTTCTCAGGTCAATAAGAGTCCAATCGGAAACTCATTTTTGTCAAGGGCTGAGTAAATTATATCAAGGAGACTAAGAATTGCATCGTTGGTACTCTTTTGGGAGCGGAAGCCAAACTGACAGGGGGCTAAGAATGTCAAATTTTACGAGGTAGGAGTAAAGCTGTTTATAGATAATTTTTTCAAATATTTTTTATAGTATGGGTAGGTTTGATATTGGTCTATAATTGTTTATGTCTGTCGGATTACCTCCTTTATGAACTGGTGTTACTCTTGCTTTTTTAAGGATATCAGGGAAGGTATGACACTCAAGGGATTTGTTGAACAGCAGAGCTATAGGTGGGGCAAGGGCGTGGGAGGCGCTCTTGTATATAATAGATGGTATTTCACTGATGTTCCCAGCTTTGGTTTTTAGGGAGTGTATGATGGACACAACATCTGTCAGGCTGACTGGTGAGAAGAGAAGAGAGTTTGGATAACTGCCTGAGAGATATGTGTTGATATGTGTCTGTGGGATTTTACTGGCAAGGTTAGCACCAACCGATGAAAAGAAGCTACTGTATTAAATTCATTCGCCATTTCTAAATCAGATGACGGTGTAAGGCCATCCTTAGAGAGTATTATCTGGTTGTGGGAGTGTTGTTTAGTTCCTAGGATATTAGAGATGGTTTTCCATGTGCTTTTCATGTTGCCTTTTGCTTCTTTGAATTTGTAGAATTTTTCTTATAATTTTCTTATAATGTAATTTTCTTATATTGTAGAATGTCCCATATTGACTGACTTTCGCCCTCCTGGGCTAAGGTATGCTGAACTGTGTAATTACTATATGAGTACTGGAACACTTGATGATATATTGGACTTGTACCCAAGATTAACCATGTAATGTATCAGTTATATAATGTATGTATGTGATGTAACTATATAGCCTGAGCTTGTAAAAGCACCTTCATCACCTTCAGTGATTAAGTGCTTAATTGCACACTAGTTTCTCTATCAGGTATCTCACTCTGACAGAGTAAAAGAGACAAATGTATGTGAATGCATGTGTGTGTGTATATATGTATGTATACATGTATGTATATATGTATGTGTACATATATATGTGTGTGTGTATGTGTATAAAGTACATATGGAAGCTGATCAGAATTACATTTCACCTTTGTAAATGCACATTAATGACACTATGTAAAAGACACATCGAACACTTTATGTAGGGCATACGTAAATCTGTGTATCTATGTATTTACGTATGTAGGTTAGCTTAGCATTTTAAAAAGCACCGAATCACCTTCAATGGTTGATTGTTCAATAATCCCTTGAACTATATGTTTAACACATCTCTAACCCTGTCCATGGAGGACAGAAGAAAATGTATATATGCTGGTTAGCATTGTAAATGTGTGGCCACGTTTGTGGTAGAAAATAAAAAAAAATAAAAAAAAAATTCTTAACTCAACTGATACTTTCTCCAGTGACTCTCTAGCACATTTTATGACCATATATGTAGTTGCAGGGCCATTTTGAAAAATGGGTAATAATGAAAAAAATACAAAGCTGGGAAGACTATTTAGCACCACCCATGTTGTGGGGATATAAACATTTTGAAAAGATTCCTTTGGCATTGATAATGTACATCATTTTGCATTATGCATGATCTTTTTCCATACAGTGGATCATATACCTTTGAAAGCAGCAGAATGACTTGGTCAGAAGGGCCTTTTTAATAGAATCAAAGCCTGATTATTTACTATAGTATTTGCTTTGCCATCAATTTTATTATTTTTTCCAGATGGGGGCCTGACGGTTGAGTGGACAGCGCTCGGGGTTCGTAGTCCTAAGGGATCCGGGTTTGATCCCCATCGGAGGCAGAAACAAATGGGCAGAGTTTCTTTCACCCTGATGCCTCTGTTCACCTAGCAGTAAATAGGTACAGTACCAGGGAGTTAGACAGCTGCTACAGGATGCTTCCTGGGAATGTGTGTGTGAAAATTAGGATTAAGGACTTGCCCGTAATACTGTGTGTGCTCGTGGCTGTACAAGAATGTAAGAACTCTTTTACAGTATATATAAATAAATAAATAAATAAAAAATATGACAAATCATGATAGGGTTTTATATCTAACAAATTTCAAAATGGTGAGCAATATAATTTTTGCTTCTTACCTGATTACATGACCTTCCAGTTGCTCTTTGCTCATAGTATTAATTGGGATGCCATCTATTAAAGTTTGTGCACGCCCACTGCCTGTCTTTTTGGATCCACGCTTTCCTTTACCTTTTTCTCCTTTCTTTTTTGGAGGCTGCCAAAATATCAATAAAATGAATAAGAAAACTAAAATATTGAACAAAATAATATCAATTCATCAAATGTAATGCATTTATTTCAGATCCAATGGTATAAAAATCATTCCTGAACTAAATCGACTCTCATACCAGGAACAGTTGCAAGCCACAGGGTTAACAACACAAACCAGACATGACAGGGCTGATTTTGCCAAAACTTTTAAAGTACAGTACTAGTACTAAACAATTTGGAGGATACTGATCCAGACTACTTCTTAAAAAGATCAGATAAAACACAGACAAGGAGCAATGGTTTCAAGCTCTACAAGCCATAATGCAAGACAAAACAGGAAATGCTTTTTCATCCATAGGGCTATAAACTCATGGAAGTGGCTACCCACCAAAGCATAAATACCAAATCACTGCTGAATTTCAAAATCCAGCTCGATAAAATCATCAGGACAAATGGAGGGACATTTGATAAGCTGCAAGTTTCCTGTCCTTGTCAAGGCCACTAGTGAGATAGTGGCCTTAGGTAACTTTAGGTAAATTAATTACAAGAGCAACAGGAAATGCATTCAGAATAAGCGTTATTATGATATACAAGCAAACATGTTATTTCCAGATGCCAGATTTCTAGATTAACAAATTTATCATCTGTGATTTGCTTGTATAAGGTTGTCCAGGCAAGATGAATGAGGAGAGCACAGCTCATTTCATGAGACATGAGGAGCCTAGTTAGCACACCTGAACTGCATATGTGCACTGAGGCAGCATAATAAGCATAGGCTGGCATATGAAAATTTAATTAAATTATTATGAATTATGTGATGATAATGATTAAATGAAGATGTTATGATATGGTCGTGAGGTAGTGGTGATAGTTTTGGTAATGTTAGGAAACATAATGGTGCTGTTGGTAAAAATGTGAGTGGTTATCATTGTAATGGTGATGGTTGGTGTGATGATGTGGTGGTAGTGTGTGGATGAGTACAATGAGTAGCTGTAATGAGCACAGGTATGTCTAAAGATACATGATACTGTATGTTGAAGAGATATGACGATATGATGATCATGAAAAGGTGGTGGTAGCAGTAATTAAATAATTAGAGACTACAATCTCAGAAGTAAGCACCACTTGGACAGATATACTAAGCCTCCTAGGTCTTGCCAGTAACTAGACAAGTAACCATGTGGATAGGCTCACCCGTAGCTAGGGCAAACTTAACAAGCATAGCAGGTTATCTGTCCCTGACAATGATATTCTAATACACTACTGTACAATCAAATAAAATATGAAATATGAAGGGATGTTTAGTGCATTTAATTTTAACTATAAAGGTATTGACAGTCAGCCTCCATATCTCTGCTTGCATTGATAATGTGAACTCAGACCTGCTGCTTTTTCAGCCATGTTCCCCCTTTTTTATCTTTATTTTTATTTGTTCTCAACACATTTTATTCTTTATACTCAATTAGTATTAAGTTTTAGTCATTAATTGTTTTTCCTGCCCGAAACTACTTAAATCAAATACCTTTTCTATATGCATTTTATATATACATTATAACCATAGTACAGTATATGATTAACTCTAAATATACTTAACTTTTTAAGAGTTAATTCTTTAGAAAATGTTAATAAAATACAAGGGACAGTCTTACCCCAACCCTGTATATAATCTTAAGATGAATATTACAACAATCTATGCCATGCTAGTCGTTAGTGCGAATTGTTGACAGAAGCGAGTTGGAAAAGGGGTGACTTGTCCTGAAACCATGATACGTTCACTCATTATATCATCATCAGATGCTTTCATTCCCATGAATAAATAAATAATATAAATAAATAAATAAATAAATAAATAAATAAATGTTTATTTAGGTAAGTTACATACATACAAGAGATTTTACAAGATTGATGGATTTATAGATAGAGCTAGTACATACAATGCCTAAAGCCACTTTTGCGCAAAGCGTTTCGGGCAGGTAAAACATTAATGACTAAAGCTTAATACTAATTGGGTATAAAGAATAAAATGTGTTGAGAACAAATAAAAATAGAGATAAAAGAGGGGGAACATGGCTGAAAAATCAGCACAAATACAATTAGGTCGACAAACAGCGTTGTTTAAAAAAACAAAAAAACAGACATGGGTTGACAATTGAGGGGTAAGGTAGGTTACAGGGAATTTATTAGGTAGTGCTTCGTTTTTATCTTAAACTGGTTGAGAGAGGTACAGTCTTTAACATGGTTGGGAAGGTCATTCCACATTCTGGGTCCCTTGATTTGTAGAGCATTTCTAGTTTGATTAAGTCGTACTCTTGGAATATCAAAACTGTATTTATTTCTGGTGTGGTGCTCATGGGTTCTGTTACAACCTTCAATGAAGCTTTTGAGGTCAGGATTGGCATTACAGTTCAGCGTTTTATATATGTATAACACACATGAGAGAATGTGCAGTGACTTAATATCTAACATAGTCAGAGATTTGAGTAGGGGTACCGAGTGATGTCTGGGGGCCAGAGTTGGATATTGTCCTAATAGCAGCTTAGTGTTGAGTAATTAGAGGACGTAAATGATTTTGGGTTGTAAAACCCCAAGCACAAATACCATAGTTGAGATATGGATAGATAAGGGAGTAATAGAGAGTCACCAGGGCAGGGCGTGGTACATAATATCTGATCTTAGAAAGAATGCCAACAGTTTTTTAAACTTTTTTTGATATATTTAGAATGTGTCCCTGGAAATTCAGTTTGTGATCAGTGAGAATGCCAAGAAACTTGCCATCTAATTTGTTACAAATTTGGGTATTGTTTATTTTGAGATTTATTTGATTAGAGGATTTATTGCCAAACAGAATATAGAAAGTTTTGTCATGTTAAGGGTGAGTTTGTTGGCAGTTAGCCAAAGATGGACTTTATTTAGCTCAGTATTTACTGTGGCATTTAGAGCAAGGGGGTCAGGACTGGAGTAAATGAAGGTTGTGTCGTCAGCAAATAGAATTGGTTTGAGGTGTTGGGAGGCATTTGGAAGGTCATTAATGTAGATAAGAAAGAGGAGAGGGCCAAGTATGCTGCCCTGAGGAACACCAATGTTGATGGGTAGGGTGGGAGAAATTTAATTATTCACAGAAACATACTGGAGCCTGTCAGTAAAGTAAGATTTGAGGTATTGCAGGGAGTGTAAATAAATAAATGTTTAAAAAGAATAAATAAAGAATAAATCCTGATGCAACATACCGGAAATCACAAACAGTTTTTATAAAAAAAAACTTAAGTTAAGAAAGCCCTACCATGATTGCGGTCGAGTTTTAAGTTGAAAAATTACACTGTTCGTCAATTTTGAGCAGAGTTGTGTATTTACGTTCTTCCGTTGCCATGGAGACCAGAGTCACGGCCGTCCATCTTACAAAAATATACCTGAAGGCAGCATATCTTTTATTTATTTATTTATTTATATACAAGAAGGTTCATTGGGTTTCTGAGAATACATAGCATGGAATTTACAATCTTGTAAATACAACTTGTACAATCTCGTTGAACAACTTGCATAATTGCTATTCTCTGCTTTGTTCCCCTTCTTTTTTATTTTTTTATTTTTTTCAACAATTTATACCTTAAGCTCAATTACTATTAAGTTTTACTATAAGTGTTCCCCCCCCCCCTCACCTTGCCCGAATCGCTATGCGTACTAGAGGCTTAATTTGGGTTTTGTATGTACTATCTCTATCTTTAAATCCAACATTATATATGTAACTAAATGTATGTACCCTTACCTGAATACAAAAATCTAAATCTAGATCTAAATCTTGTAAAGCCACTAGTACGCGCAGCGTTTCGGGCAGGTCCTTAATCTAACAGATAATTTTAAGTAGGTAAATTCTAGCGGAATTAATACAATGATAACAGATACATTGTAAAAAAGAAAAAAACTGAGACGAGAGAGATTAGTAGGTATATTAAAGCACATTGGTATATTAAAGCTCTGATTGCATTGACAGTTTGATTGGTAATTTAAACGAAGATTAATAGGCACCATACAGCAAATTCCAAATTCAAAAATTCAATTCAAAGAGCTCAGGCAAGATAACTGGGAAACTTTTGTTAACAGTCTCAACTCTCACACACCCCTCAGCCAGGCATGGAAGGATATTAAAAGAATTAAAGGCGATAAGACCGGCCAAGTAGCACACCCTCACCCTCTACACAGAGCAAACGAGTTAGTCGATGCTTGGGCAACCACCTCTAGCTTCAATAATCTTCCCCCAGACATACAGTTCAGATTAAATGCTGGTTACGGAGATCGAGAAAGGCTCGTTGACTTCATGCTCCACAAGGAAGATGAATGCAACGTGCCATTTACTGAGTTTGAATTACTCGCGGCCCTAAACAAAGGTAAAGCCACATCCCCCGGTGAAGATGGTATATCACTTATGACATATTACGTCTGCTCCCTTTAGTACGGGAGCCCCCTGCCCGAAACGCTGCGCGTACTAGTGGCTTTACAAGACTGTAATTACCATATTATGTATCCTCACATTCCCAATGTACCTTCTTGTATATGCATAAATAAATAAATAAATAAATAAATAAATAAATAAATAAATAAATAAATAAATAAATAAATAAATAAATAAATAAATAAATAAATAAATAAATAAATAAAGTACCAGGGAATCCCCTGCTTGAGCTGTATAATATGAGCTATGTTACTGGGGAACTTCCTATCTCTTGGACCAACAGTATAATCATTCCAATTCCCAAGCCAAATCAAGAGAATGCTTTCCGCCCAATTTCCCTTACTAGCTGCATTTGCAAAACATTCGAGAGAATGGTCCTAAACCGTCTCCTCCATAGAATAAGAACCATGCTATCCCCCCAGATATATGGCTTCATGCATGGAAGGAGTGTGCATCATTGCATCACCACCTTTCTTACCCTGCACACTGAAAAGTCATATACCACCTTCCTAGATCTTAAGTCTGCCTTTGATATTGCAAATAGACATGTTATCTTGAGTGAGCTTGCAAGAATAAATATTGGTGGTCGGCTTCTTTGTTGGATCAGGGGTTACTTATCCAACAGGAAGTCATCTGTATTTTTCCAGGGGCATAGGAGTGTAACAAGAGACTTTGAACTAGGTACCCCGCAGGGTGGTGTCCTCAGTCCTACCTTATTTAATATCTTAATAAACACGCTGTTAAACTTTATACCGAGCAAACCCAACGTCCACATCATTAGCTATGCTGATGATATAATGATACACACCACTGGGTATGAACACTCAGAACACTCTTAACTCTGTATTAGAATCATGTCAGGACCTAGGTTTAATTATCTCAGCAGAGAAAACAGAGATACTAAATCGGCGCCCACCCAGGCAGGGAGGAGCTGTTCGCAAGATGCAACTGTCTGATGGCTCCCAGCTTGACTATGTAAACAGTTTCAAATACCTTGGCCTTGAGGTGCCACTGTATGGTCCTGTTGTATTCAGACTCTGTCGTCAGTATAAAGAGAGGCTCCGAGCTCTCAAGGCTGTTGCAGGTTATCACTCAGGCTATGGTGCCAATGTCAGAATTGTCAAAATGATGTACCTTGCATACATCAGATCTTTAGTGGATTATGCTGCACCTCTGTTTGTTTTGATGCCTGAAAGAAAGCTTGGAGGGCTTGAAAAATTGTAGAACGAAGCCTTGAGGATAATCCTTGGGTGCCGTCGTACCACAAAGATACTTAATATGAGAAAGGAACTTAATATTCTGAGCGTTGTTGATCGTGTTACTGAAATTAACTGTCAAATTGGTATAAAAATGCTTAGGCTAACTCATCCTAATCCTTGCACAGAAGCGCTCCAGAATTTCTTTATTGAAGATCAGCATTGTTCCAAATGGATAACAAAAACTGGAACTCAACTCAGAATGTATCAGGTTCATGATTTGTACCAAGAGAAACAACAACGGCACTTTCCTGCACCGTGGGAGGTTAAACCCTTTCCAGTTTTAATCCCTCCCTTTCCACCTAAGAAGCAAATTAGAGATCAGCCCAAGCTTCGTCTTGAGGCAAAGCTCAACGCCTTAAGCCATATTAATGCTCTGTCCACAGAGCATTCTCTCTCTCAAATCATATACACTGATGGTTCCCTACACCGCACCACGGGTGCAGCTGGAAGTGCAGTTGTCCTGACATTGGGCGATGGCTTGTACTTTGAGTGGGGAGTCCGTATAAACAATTGGGCCTTTACCCTTCAGACCGAACTATTTGCCTTGATCCTTGCACTGAAATGTGTACAAGTCTCCAAACTTGGTACATTAATTGTAAGTGACTCCTTATCATCCTTAAATGCTCTCAACTCTTTAAGACATAACTGTAACATGCTCGTGTCCGAAGCTAGACACAAATATAACAAAATTATTAAGGATGGTAACAGAGTACATTTCATGTGGTCTCCATCTCATGTTGGCCTCCGAATGCATGATAGAGCTGATAAGTTAGCCAAAGAATCTGCCTTTAAAGGAGCCGTTGAGTGTAACCTTGGATTGTCAATGAGCAATCTGAGAGCAGCAGTACACCGAGAACTTCAACAAGATTTTGTAGATCTGAGGCACAGTGAAATTGACACCAGAAATTCCATCTATCATCATACTATCATGCAAGAGGAGCCACACATCTATGGATCATCCAATAAAATCAGCAGACTTCTAGATGTTACTACTGCTCGGCTTAGACTCGGTTACAAGTATCTCTGGGAATTCTCATTATCTGCTGATGTAGACCTGACCAAATGTAAACTGTGTCAACAAAATTATTCGCACACTTTCCGTCACTATGTGATGGAGTGCGAAAAGATACGTGAATTTAGAGACAATTCTATAACCAATGTTCCAGCGATGTGTAAATATTTCATTCAAAATGATTTGCTACCAGAAATTTTAGCCAAATATCACCAGTTTGCTAACTGTAGGTAGTAACTGAGTGATTGTAACCTATCCACCGCTGCCCACTGGATGGGGGGCGGTGTGCAGGACAAACATATAAATTTTGACACTAGCTCTCCACATATGTCAGTTGCTTAATTTAGAACCTGTACTTGAGGTCGATCTCGAACCCATTGTTGATGACTTTGAATGTTGATGATTGTTGACTTATATTGAATTTTGTAACTAGCTCATCAAGATTGTAACTTGCTTAGCTAAATGAATTGTGGGGTTCAGTCCCTGAGCCCATTATGTGCCTCTGTAACCCTTTCCACTACCGCCCTCAAGATGGGTATGGGGTGCATAATAAATGAACTAAACTAAACGATTGGACTCTTCATTGATCTGAGAAAGGCCTTTGACACTGTTAATCACAATTATCTCTTACATAAACTCCATCATTATGGAATCCGAGGCCATGCACTGGACTATATCTAATCCTATCTTAGTGACAGACTCCAATGTGTAACCATCAATAATATATAACCTCTCCCACTCTACCAATAACCGTTGGAGTGCCACAGGGTAGCATCTTGGCACCTCTCCTATTTCTTATATACATCAATGATCTGCCTAATGTCTCTAACATTCTGAAACCTATTTTGTTTGCTGATGATACTACCCTCATCTACTCTAACCCCAACCCACATATACTAAATGATGTTGTTAATGAACTAAATAATGAACTAAAATGAACTAATAATGAACTAAAAAAAGTCCACTTATGGATGTCAACCAATAAACTAACACTTAAAATAGAAAAGACCTACTACATTATATTTGTATGCAAGTCTACAAATGCAATTCAGCTTCAGATAGATAATGTAAACATCAGCAATAAAAATGATGGAAAGTTCGTTGGCCTATTCCTAGACAAGAGACTCAACTTCAGCACCCACATACAACACATAACTAAGACAGTCTCTAAAACAGTTGGGATACTATCCAAAATTAGCGCTATGTCATGGGTTCGTATCCTGGCCGGGGAGGATATACTGGGCGCAATTCCTTAACTGTAGCCTCTGTTTAACGCAACAGTAAAATGTGTACTTGGATGAAAAAACGATTCTTCGCGGCAGGGGATCGTATTCCAGGGACCATAGGTTTAAGGACTTGCCCGAAACGCTACGCGTACTAGTGGCTGTACAAGAATGTAACAACTCTTGTATATATCTCAAAAAAAAAAAAAAAAAAAAAAAGATATTATGTACCTAACTCTGCTCTCATCTCTCTATATTATGCACTAATCTATCTCTATCTTAATTATGGTATCTGTGCATGGGGTTCAACCACTGCAAACCACCTCAAGTTCATCATCACCCAACAAAAATCTACTATCAGAATAATAACAAATTCTGCTTTCAGACAACACTCAGCCCCCTTGTTTAACTCCCTTAACATGCTAAACATAATCTCACTCCACAAATTTTCTTGTGTCAATTACATTTACAAAACC